CGCTGGACGACGTGCGCTACATGATTGCCAGCACCAACTGGTACTAGGAGCGCACGTGGGCCTGCGTGAGCCCGGTGCACTGCTGCAGCCACGCAGGGTGGCCCCGCGCCCGGGCTGCTTGGCTTCAATAAACTCGTGCTTCCCTTGGAGCCTGCTGTCTGCCTGTGGGCACCGCGCCGGTGCCTCCCGAAACCCCTGAGCCTGGTGCACGTCTTGAAGAGAATGTGCCAGCACCAACTGGTACTAGGAGCGCACGTGGGCCTGCGTGAGCCCGGTGCACTGCTGCAGCCACGCAGGGTGGCCCCGCGCCCGGGCTGCTTGGCTTCAATAAACTCGTGCTTCCCTTGGAGCCTGCTGTCTGCCTGTGGGCACCGCGCCGGTGCCTCCCGAAACCCCTGAGCCTGGTGCACGTCTTGAAGAGAATGGCTGCAGGGGCAAGGCCACAGCTTGCCCACAGCAACAAAGATGAGCAGGGACAAGGTGGGCACCATGAGGGCAAGACGGGTCTAACCCCGCTTTCTGGGCCCTGAATTGCCCTTCTGGCACCTCCTGTGTTGTTTGGACGTGCACATGTGAGGCCGTACGGGCAGAGGGACGGCCGGGAGATGGGAGGCATGGACTGGTGGCCTCCTGCGGCCCCAAGCCCAGGCAGAGAAGGGAGAGCTGCCAACGCAGGGGTCTCAAACAAGAATTTATTCCTGTTGCTCCTGAGGGCCTTTGTGCTGCCTGGCTGTCCCTGAGGTCCTGTGTCAGAGGCAGGGAGCGGGGCAGGACGGCTTGGTGGCCCCGTAGAGGGCGTTGAGGGGCTCGGGCTCAAAAGGGCCCCATGTGGGGTGGAGTAGAAGGAGCGTTGGTTGGCCTCGCCGGCGAAGAGGAGCTGCAGTGGCTGTGGCGAGAGGCGTGCAGGGCACGGGAGCCGCACGTGAGCTCTGCGAGCCGCAGCCACCAACCTCCCGAGCCCAGCGGAGAGGGAGGTCCTAGCGCTAAAGCGACCCCGAGAGGCCCACGGGCCTCTTCTCTGCGGTCTGGCATGGGAGATGCCCATCTCGGCATGACCCACCACAGGCAAAGCTCCCCTCCAGCTCCAGCGTGCTCAGAGCTCCCTGCATTTCATGTGGGATGAGTACCCTTCCCTCATAGAGCACAGTGGGAAGAGCTAAGGAGGAGCATGGAGTTCAACCTCCAGGGACCTTCAGTCTGAGGGCAACGGGGAGAAGGCGATCTCCTTGCCCGCTGCTCTCACATCCTGACCCCAGCGTCCTAGAGCACCCGTTCCTACCCATGCGTGTGGGGCCCTACGTATGTCCTGCCCCTGGCCGCTACTTCCCACAGCCAAGCGCTCGCTCGAAGCGATTACCCTGGGGTCAGACACGTCCTCGGGCAGGGGCTGCGCCAGCACGTCGATGTCTTCCCCCGAGCTGCTGACAGCCACGTAGCTGCGGGGAGGGAGCGCTGTGCCACCGGGTCCTGAGCATGTTCCTGGGGGCGGGCAGGTGTGGGTTTCCTGGCACACAGGGACACGGAGGGGAGATGTGGCCACCTTGGAAGGGCTTCCTCCCTGCCCTACCACGTCAGCACGCGAAGTACCTGTCAGCATACGAAGGACACGTGTCAAGGTGCTAAGAACTTCCTCATCGCTGAGGGTCTCCATGTACTCCGACTCCTTCCCAGCAATGAAGCCGCAAAGGACGTGGCCATTCCTAGGGAGAAAGAGAGAGCTCTCACCAAGGAGAGGCTCTCCCTCTGTGCACAGAGAAGGGCCAGAGAGCTCTTGCCAAGCAGGGGACAAGGCTCTGCTCGAGGACTATCAGCGAGGTCCTTCAGGATACAGAAGACCTGCAGCCCAGCGTGCTGCTCTGCCACACACAGAGACAACCCTCGCCCTCAAGCGTGGCAGCTGCCAGGCCCCGCAAGCTGAGAAGGAGGCCTTTCTCCCAGGTGAAAGCAGAGGAGTGCTACGTCAAGAACCACCGAAGACAAACGACCACCTACTGTTCTGGTGGCTGGAGGACCACGAAGCCGATGAGCTTCTTGAACCAGTTGGCCTCCAAGTCCGTGCTGGGCTCCGCAAGAGGTGACTCGTCCTCCCACACCACTTCAAGGAGCTGATAGTCCGGGTCCCAGAACGGCTCCTCAAATTCCAGGAAGATCTTGTTGTTGGTGCCAAAACCCAGGCAGCGAATGGCTTCTGCTTTCCGTTCGGGCAGAGGAGGCTGAAAAAAGTCCTGGTGGCGTTCTTTGAGGAAACCTGCAGACAGAAAACTGGGCGACTTCTTCCACTGTGACACCTGGCGTGTGGCACGGCGCCGCACAGCCCGTCTCCCGAGCCCGTTCTCAGGCCAGGGCTGCAGTGGAGAAGCGTGAGATGAAGTACCCTTCAGCCTGAGCCCGTCTCCCACGTGTGCTTATCCAGCCCTGCGACAGAAGCTCAGAGCCCATCTCCCACGTGTGCTTATCCAGCCCTGCTCCCAGGGTTTCTTTATGCCTGCCCTCATCCTTGTATCCCTAGTCCTGCCTCTGACAACGGAGACGGTGGAGTCTGCTGATGCAGCAGTCTGGAAGGGGGTTGGGGCTCCAAATGGAGTTTTGCTCAAGTCCAAGACTTTCTTCTCCCCTGATCCCTTGGTGGGAAAGGGGAGCTTGGGTTGGGAGTTGGGCTGGTCCTCTCTGGCTGTAAGAAATCTGCTCCCGTGCTGCTGGCCCCAGCACAGGACGGGAATGGCCTCTTGCAGCCTCATGGCTCTGTGCCGTGGCAAACCAATAGGTAGGTGGGATGGAGACCAACAGCGGTGGGAGACATGGGGCAGGGGCCCCAAGGTCTCACCCAGCGGGACGGTGATGATGACGTGATCCGCGAGGAAGGAGTCGCCATCCTCGCACTCCACTCGCACAGGGAACTCCTGTTGTGAGTCCCCGTCCTCACGAAAGGCCCCTTGCCACCGGATGGTCCTCACCGGCTTGTTGAGCAGGACGGTGCCCTCGGGCAGGGCTTCCAGCATGCGGTCGGGGAGGCTGCTGTAGCCCCTGGCAGAGGAGATGCAGCCCGTGGCTCCACATGGGGTGCGAGGGGAGAGGGTCTTTCTCCCCTGGGACCCCCTTGCCCTGGGTGTTTCTCTCCTTGCCCTCCACACCAAGCCCTGAGAGCAGAGGCGACCCCCGTCCTTGCACACTCACCCAGGGAAGGTGCAGTCAAGGCCTGGCAGCGCCGTGTACTCGCCAAAGGGCCCCAGGGCCACCAGGTCCATGCTGTGGGTCCCGCTGATGCAGCACTCCAGTTTGAGGCAGGCGCTGAGCACGGCCTGC